GAACTAGTGGTACAGAACTTGTGGTACAGAACTAGTGGTACAGAACTTGTGGTACAGAACTAGTGGTACAGAACTAGTGCTACAGAACTTGTGGTACAGAACTAGTGGTACAGAACTTGTGGTACAGAACTAGTGGTACAGAACTAGTGGTACAGAACTTGTGGTACAGAACTAGAGGTACAGAACTAGTGGTACAGAACTTGTGGTACAGAACTAGTGATGCAGAACTAGTGGTACAGAACTAGTGGTACAGAACTAGTGGTGCAGAACTAGTGGTACAGAACTAGTGGTACAGAACTAGTGGTGCAGAACTAGTGGTACAGAACTAGTGGTACAGAACTAGTGGTACAGAACTAGTGGTACAGAACTAGAGGTACAGAACTTGTGGTACAGAACTAGTGATGCAGAACTAGTGGTACAGAAATTGTGGTACAGAACTAGTGGTGCAGAACTAGTGGTACCGAACTTGTGGTACAGAACTAGTGGTGCAGAACTAGTGGTACAGAACTAAAGGTACAGAACTAGTGATGCAGAACTAGTGGTACAGAAATTGTGGTACAGAACTAGAGGTACAGAACTAAAGGTACAGAACTAGTGATGCAGAACTAGTGGTACAGAAATTGTGGTACAGAACTAGTGGTGCAGAACTAGTGGTACAGAAATTGTGGTACAGAACTAGTGGTGCAGAACTAGTGGTACAGAAATTGTGGTACAGAACTAGTGGTGCAGAACTAGTGGTACCGAACTTGTGGTACAGAACTAGAGGTACAGAACTAGTGGTACAGAACTAAAGGTACAGAAGTAGTGGTACAGAAATAAAGATGCAGAAGTAGTGGTACAGAACTAGTGGTAGAGAACTAGTGGTACAGAACTAGTGGTACAGAACTAGTGGTACAGAACTAGTGGTACAGAACTAGTGGTACAGAACTAGTGGTAGAGAACTAGTGGTACAGAACTAGTGGTAGAGAACTAGTGGTAGAGAACTAGTGGTAGAGAACTAGTGGTAGAGAACTAGTGGTAGAGAACTAGTGGTAGAGAACTAGTGGTACAGAACTTGTGGTACAGAACTTGTGGTACAGAAGTAGTGGTACAGAACTAGTGGTAGAGAACTAGTGGTACAGAACTAGTGGTAGAGAACTAGTGGTACAGAACTTGTGGTATATAACTTGTGGTAGAGAACTAGTGGTAGAGAACTAGTGGTAGAGAACTAGTGGTAGAGAACTAGTGGTACAGAACTAGTGGTAGAGAACTAGTGGTACAGAACTAGTGGTAGAGAACTAGTGGTACAGAACTAGTGGTAGAGAACTAGTGGTACAGAACTTGTGGTATATAACTTGTGGTACAGAACTAGTGGTAGAGAACTAGTGGTAGAGAACTAGTGGTACAGAACTAGTGGTAGAGAACTAGTGGTACAGAACTAGTGGTAGAGAACTAGTGGTACAGAACTAGTGGTAGAGAACTAGTGGTACAGAACTAGTGGTAGAGAACTAGTGGTACAGAACTAGTGGTAGAGAACTAGTGGTACAGAACTAGTGGTAGAGAACTAGTGGTACAGAACTTGTGGTATATAACTTGTGGTACAGAACTAGTGGTAGAGAACTAGTGGTAGAGAACTAGTGGTAGAGAACTAGTGGTACAGAACTAGTGGTAGAGAACTAGTGGTACAGAACTAGTGGTAGAGAACTAGTGGTACAGAACTAGTGGTAGAGAACTAGTGGTACAGAACTAGTGTAGAGAACTAGTGGTACAGAACTAGTGGTAGAGAACTAGTGGTACAGAACTTGTGGTATATAACTTGTGGTACAGAACTAGTGGTAGAGAACTAGTGGTAGAGAACTAGTGGTAGAGAACTAGTGGTAGAGAACTAGTGGTAGAGAACTAGTGGTAGAGAACTAAATGTACAGAACTTGTGGTACAGAACTTGTGGTACAGAAGTAGTGGTACAGAACTAGTGGTAGAGAACTAGTGGTACAGAACTAGTGGTAGAGAACTAGTGGTACAGAACTTGTGGTATATAACTTGTGGTAGAGAACTAGTGGTAGAGAACTAGTGGTAGAGAACTAGTGGTAGAGAACTAGTGGTACAGAACTAGTGGTAGAGAACTAGTGGTACAGAACTAGTGTAGAGAACTAGTGGTACAGAACTAGTGGTAGAGAACTAGTGGTACAGAACTTGTGGTATATAACTTGTGGTACAGAACTAGTGGTAGAGAACTAGTGGTAGAGAACTAGTGGTAGAGAACTAGTGGTACAGAACTAGTGGTAGAGAACTAGTGGTACAGAACTAGTGGTAGAGAACTAGTGGTACAGAACTAGTGGTACAGAACTAGTGGTACAGAACTAGTGGTACAGAACTAGTGGTAGAGAACTAGTGGTAGAGAACTAGTGGTACAGAACTAGTGGTACAGAACTAGTGGTACAGAACTTGTGGTACAGAACTAGTGGTACAGAACTTGTGGTATATAACTTGTGGTAGAGAACTAGTGGTACAGAACTTGTGGTAGAGAACTAGTGGTACAGAACTAGTGGTAGAGAACTAGTGGTAGAGAACTTGTGGTATATAACTTGTGGTAGAGAACTAGTGGTACAGAACTTGTGGTAGAGAACTAGTGGTACAGAACTAGTGGTACAGAACTAGTGGCACAGAACTTGTGGTATATAACTTGTGGTACAGAACTTGTGGTACATAACTAGTGGTACAGAACTTGTGGTATATAACTTGTGGTACAGAACTAGTGGTACAGAACTTGTGGTATATAACTTGTGGTACAGAACTTGTGGTACAGAACTAGTGGTACAGAACTAGTGGTACAGAACTTGTGGTACAGAACTAGTGGTAGAGAACTTGTGGTATATAACTTGTGGTACAGAACTTGTGGTACAGAACTAGTGGTACAGAACTTGTGGTATATAACTTGTGGTACAGAACTTGTGGTACAGAACTAGTGGTACAGAACTTGTGGTATATAACTTGTGGTACAGAACTTGTGGTACAGAACTAGTGGTACAGAACTAGTGGTACAGAACTTGTGGTACAGAACTAGTGGTAGAGAACTTGTGGTATATAACTTGTGGTACAGAACTTGTGGTACAGAACTAGTGGTACAGAACTTGTGGTATATAACTTGTGGTACAGAACTTGTGGTACAGAACTAGTGGTAGAGAACTTGTGGTATATAACTTGTGGTACAGAACTTGTGGTACAGAACTAGTGGTACAGAACTTGTGGTATATAACTTGTGGTACAGAACTTGTGGTACAGAACTAGTGGTACAGAACTTGTGGTATATAACTTGTGGTACAGAACTTGTGGTACAGAACTAGTGGTACAGAACTAGTGGTACAGAACTAGTGGTACAGAACTAGTGGTACAGAACTAGTGGTACAGAACTAGTGGTACAGAACTTGTGGTACAGAACTTGTGGTACAGAACTAGTGGTACAGAACTAGTGGTACAGAACTAGTGGTACAGAACTAGTGGTACAGAACTTGTGGTACAGAACTAGTGGTACAGAACTAGTGGTACAGAACTAGTGGTACAGAACTAGTGGTAGAGAACTAGTGGTACAGAACTTGTGGTATATAACTTGTGGTACAGAACTAGTGGTACAGAACTTGTGGTACAGAACTAGTGGTACAGAACTAGTGGTAGAGAACTAGTGGTACAGAACTAGTGGTAGAGAACTAGTGGTACAGAACTAGTGGTACAGAACTAGTGGTAGAGAACTAGTGGTACAGAACTTGTGGTATATAACTTGTGGTACAGAAATAAAGACATTGGTTTACATACCTATGATTTTCTTTTAATCAGCGAGACATTTAGCGCAGCGGGAACAGGAAGAAGTATACTGGAGAAGATAAAGAAAAGAAGCGCAGTTGTCTCTCTCTCCTCCGCTGCGGCACCTGAACAATACCAGAAGGATGACTCTGGAGGTCAACGACCCCCGTGACCCGGTCCCACACCAGGACTCTAGGTGGATCAACTCTTGATCAACCAGGCTATCACTACTGGATGCACACAGCGCAACGTACTAGCCACAGCCCGGAGAATCAGGAACTGAGCTGAGGAACTTGTCCAGTTTTCTCTTGAAAATAACTAGAGGTTTGTTGGTAATTTACCTTTATTCACGGACGGAAGAAGTTGAAGAGTCGGGAACCTCTGACACTTATCGAGTTCTCGTCACGCCCCTGCTCTTCACGGGAGGAATTTTGCAACGTCTGCCAAGTTTCTTGCTTTCACATGAAGTGTGAGGGTTTGAGACCAGCTCTACCTGGATTTTCCAGGTGTAACTTATGATATATTTTTCTCGCAAACATTCCATGGGAAACAGTTGAAGAGGTTTCAAACATTCCCAGCAGTTCTTTGTATGTTTTCTAGATCAACAATCTTGCTTGTCTTGAAAGAAGCTGTCAGTATACAACAGTATTCCAACCCGGAGACAACAAGTGACTGGAAGAGCACCATCACTGATTCAGAACCTAAGTCTTCAAAGTTCTAGGTATACAGTCTATCATTTTCTTTGCTCCAGCAATAGCAACACTGCTGTGATCTTTGAATGTGAGATCTGATATCATCACTTCCCAAGTCTCCCACGTGCAACTTCCACTTAACTGAATTATTTGAGTTTGTCTTGTATTCCGTTTCAGTCTTTATTTCCTCCATTCTTCCACAGCAGAGCAACTAAAGCAGCAGCAGTAGAAGGAGTGTGTGGATGTTAGTGTATATTACCTGCAGCAGAAGCGAGGAAGTAGTGGAAGAAGCAGCAGCAGCAGTAATGTTTGAGGGTGTGAGTGTATTACCTGCAGCAGGAGTGAGGAAGTAGTGGAAGAAGCAGCAGCAGCAGTAATGTTTGAGGGAGTGAGTGTATTACCTGCAGCAGGAGCGAGGAAGGAGGGGAAGCAGCAGTAATATTTGAGGGAGTGAGTGTATTACCTGCAGCAGGAGCGAGGAAGTAGTGGAAGAAGCAGCAGCAATAATGTTTGAGGGTGTGAGTGTATTACCTGCAGCAGGAGTGAGGATGGAAGAGAGCAGCAGCAGCAGTAGCAGCAGGAGTGGTGGTACTGGAGGCAGGTTAGCCTGGGGTTGGTGCGGGCGACGACAAGTCTCTGGTGATGACATCATGCTGGACCATGGCAATACTACACCTGCAACAACAACAAACTATATTAACTCACAACGTAACAAATACGACATATTATTGATAGTATAAAATACGACATGTTGTGATGTAAATGGTTCAGAAAACCAACAATTTAAAGAATGAGACACTTGTGCAACATTTGAGAGGCTTGACTGAGGAAACGTTTCGCCAGCCAGTGGCTTCTTCAGTCCAATAGAGAGAAGAACGGTGGAAGATGAGAAGTTTGAGGTAATCAGTCGATGTGTTGAGTCTTTCAGTCTTGATGGAGTGAACACTGAAACATACAATGAATGGTATACAGAATGGTATACAGAGCCAACAAGACCTCTGCAACACAGTTGTCATCAAAGATTTGTTAAGTTATACCATGAATTAAGGAAAGATCCTGGACGTCACCTTACGAAAGCTGACACAGCAAATGTGATAGTAATTATAAACAAGGTAGATTATAGTGGAAAATTAAAATATTAATATAAGGCAGAGAAACTGACGTGCCTCTTAACTGTTACTTAAACACCAGAATATGTCACAAAGAAGGAAAGACCCGAGAGATCACCGACACAAGATCATACCAGACACAATAATACCAGAGTAATATCCGACACAATAATACCAGAGTAATACCAGACACAATAATACCTGAGTAATACCCGACACAATATACAGAGTAATACCAGACAGCAATAAATACCAGCAGTAAGTAGTGACATATAATACCAAGAGTAGATAAGGCACAGACACAATAATACCAGAGTAATACAAGAGTGCTCAATATACCAGAGTAATACCAGACACAATAATACCAGAGAATACCCGACACAACTAATATACCAGAGTAATACCAGACACAATAATACCAGAGTAATACCCGACACAATAATACCAGAGTAATACCAGACACAATAATACCAGAGTAATACAGACACAATAATACCAGAGAAGTATACCGAGCATAATAATACCAGAGAACATGAACATAGACAGCAATAATACCAGAGTAATACCTAGACACAATAATACCAGAGTAATACCACGACACAAATAACTGAACAAACAGAGTAATACCAGACACAATAATACCAGAGTAATACAAGACACAATAATACCAGAGTAAATACAAGAAACACAATAATACAGACACAATAATACCGACACAATAATACCAAGTAATACAGAACAATAAAGATACCAGACACAATAATACCAGACACAATAATACCATGAGTAATACGCAGACACAATAATACCAGAGTAATACCAGACACAATAATACTAACCAGAGTAATACCAGACAATAATACCAGACACAATAATACCAGAGTAATACCAGACACAATAATACCAGAGTAATATCAGACACAATAATACCAGAGTAATACACACAATATACAGACACAATAATACCAGCACAATAATACCAGACACAATAATACCAGAGTAATACCAAACACAATAATACCAGAGTAATACCAGACACAATAATACCAGAGTAATACCAGACACAATAATACCAGAGTAATACCAGACACAATAATACCAGAGTAATACCAGACACAATAATACCAGAGCAATACCAGACACAATAACACCAGAGTAATACCAAAACAATAATACCAGAGCAATACCAGACACAATAATACCCGAGTAATACCAGACACAATAATACCAGACTTACAATAATACCAGGAGAATAATACAGCAAATAATACCAGACACAATAATAAACACATAATACCAATAATACCAGACAGAAATACAAAATACCAGACACAATAAATACCAATAATAATACCAGACACAATAATACAGAGTAAATAATAGCTCAGGCAGAATAAGAATATACCAGACACAATAATACCAGAATACAGACCAATAATACCAAGACAACAATAATACAGACAGAATAATACCAGACAATAATACCAGACACAATAATACACAAGACCAGAATAATACCAGACACAATAATACCAGACACAATAATACCAGACAGAATAATACCAGAGTAAAATACCAGAGAATAATACAGAAAATAATCGACCAGACCAGAATACAGACAATAATACCAGAATCACAATAACAATAATACAGAACAATAATACCAAATACCAAATAACACCAGAATACAGACAAATAATACCAGACACAAATAATACCAGTAACAACAATAAATACCAGAATAATACCAGACACAATAATACAGACACATCAGAACACAATAATACCAGACATAATACCAGACAATAATAAACCAGACAGAAATAATACAAGACAAATACAACAATATACAACACAATAATACGAGACAAAATAATACCAGACACAATAATACCAGACACAATAATACACAGACAGAATAATACCAGACACAATAATACCAGACACAATAATACCAGACACAATAATACCAGAGATACACAAATAATACCAGACACAATAATACCAGACTTTACAATAATACCAGACAAATAATACCAAGGACAATAATACCAGACAGAATAATACCAGACACAATAATACCAGACACAATAATACCAGACACAATAATACCACAAATACCAACAATAATACCAGACACAATAATACCAGAACAATAATACCAGACACAATAATACCAGACAATAATACCAGCACAATAATACCAACAGTAAATACCAACACAATAATACCAGACGATAATACCAGACACAATATACCAGACAAATAATACCATACACAAATACCAGAACAATAATACCAGACACAATAATACCAGACGAATAATACCAGACACAATAATACCAGACAAAATAATACCAGACAATAATACCAGACACAATAATACCAGACAAATAATACCAGACAGAATAATACCAGACAATAATACCAGAAATAATACAGACACAATTACCAGACCACAATACCAGAATAATACCAGACACACAACAATAATACCAGACAATAATACCAGACACAATAATACCAGACTGAATAATACCAGACACAATAATACCAGACAACAAATAATACCAGAACATACAATAATACCCAGACACAATAATAAACCAGACACAATAATACCAGACTAATAATACCAGACATAATAATACCAGACACAATAATACCAGACAATAATACCAGACAATAATACCAGACACATAATACCAGACACAATAATACCAGACACAATAATACCAGACAAATAATACCAACAAATAATACCAGACAATAATACAGACCTAATACAACAATAATACCAGACAATAATACCAGACACAATAATACCAGACACAATAATACCAGACAATAATACCAGACACAATAATACCTAACGACAATAATACCAGACACAATAATACCAGACACAATAATACCAGACACAATAATACCAGACAATAATACCAGACACAATAATACCAGACACAATAATACCAGACACAATAATACCAGACACAATAATACCAGACACAATAATACCAGACACAATAATACCAGACAATAATACCAGACACAATAATACCAGACACAATAATACCAGACACAATAACCAAACAATAATACCAGAACACAATAATAACCATATACCAGACACAATAATACCAGACACAATAATACCAGACACAATAATACAACACATATACCGACACTATACAGACAATATAATACCAGACACAAAACAATAATACCAGACACAATAATACCAGACAATAATACCAGACACAATAATACCAGACAATAATACCAGACACAATAATACCAGACACAATAATACCAGACAATAATACCAGACACAATAATACCAGACAATAATACCAGACACAATAATACCAGACACAATAAGAAGCGTAAGATGAACAGAAAGTTGTCCAGAATATTACATGAAACCCCAAATATTTCTAAACATGTTCAAAATCCAAGTTAAGAATTACTTGTAAAAGTTATCCCATTGGTTTAGAAAGACACCTAAGCAAACATTAGGATATATTTTCCAGAAAACGTTTCGGTCCTGGGACCTTGATCACTCTAATACACAGAAATTAAAAAAGACAGTATATCTGTTTTCTCCTTCTGGAGCCAGAGACGGGTCATCGCAACATTAATACCCCGTGCCAGAACCCCGGTCTTGGCGAACATTATGCATACTTTGTATTGTTTGAAACTGTTTTACTGCCTTTTTGGGGTTGCTCTAGAACTTGCCGGGTAGCGTAGAGGTAGGCGAGATATACGGCCGTTCACTATCTTCAACTTTATTGGAATAATGGGGTTCACAGCAGGCAATGTGAGGTGGTCAAAACCAGCCCGGGAGGGGAGCTGTGGTCTGGAAGTCCATCGGTCTAGGAGTGAGACTGGGGCAGTGTGGTTTCACGCTGAGCTTGGTAGGCCTATAGACGGCAGCACCAGCATGGCGCAAAATATGAACTCAGTTGGGCAAGCATCGCAGGCTTACTGTCTACATTTTGCATGACCCCGCACCTCGTGTCTTCTCGAGACGAAAAAGGAATTAATCCCTGCAGGACTGGCTTTGGCTTAATCCAAAATGACAATTCTAGCAGGCCTCAAAAAACACTCCCATATATCAGGTGGAAGAGAAAATGGCGTGCTCAATCAGCATAGTGGAGGATGGAGCCAGGAAATGCCAGCACTGGAACCTAAATCTTCTTATATACAGGTTGTTCACAGGGCTGTGGACATCAGGCTTGTCTGCACATCAAGGGACACTGAACCATCCTCACATCTGACCGTAGCATTTTCCTAGGGTGTGACATGTGACATAAACGGGCGGCACTGCCCTGGCTTTAATACATACCTTAAAATACACGCTGCGTGCAACATACTTGCAATGACATTATCCACAAGGAAATTTATTATAACAACACTATGGGTACCCTTCTAAAAACAGATTAAATATATACATGGTGTTGTCCACCCTGACTCAGCTATTTAGACTAACTATACAGTTTATGAGCACTGATGCCAATTTCAACGAAAAGATAGTTAGCGAAGTCAGCATATTAGTCAG